GATGTCCTGGCTGATGAGAGAAATTACTCTCATGACGAATAAGACTACACCAGCTGGTGACATCCAGCTTCCTGGAAAATGTTCAGATTAAACGTAGGACAACAGGAACTCGTTACAGGATCCAAATGTTTCTGTAGTGGTTTAATATTGACAAAAGTAAGGTCTGTGGATTGAGGTCAGGGTTGCTTTCATGCAAACAGCGAGATAGGCACAAAAGCGGAAAAAACAGGTTATGCAGGTGAAATTACACAAATAATAAAACCATTGTGCTGCCTTAGTGCCACCGGATGACAAAAATCTACTTTAGAACATCTGGAGAAACTGAAAACAGAAATTACATTTTTATACTAGTTTAACTGCTGCATCTAGCATGTCAGTTGGAAAAGATGCAGCTACAGAATGGCGTTGCGCAGGCTCGCGATGCGGAATAGCGTTACAGCTAGGTAGCTCTCTTACCAATGCTGTCATTGCAAGCCAGCACACCAGCCACAGTTATGACATGTGGAACTAGCCCTCTTGTATTAGGGACCAACCTAGTTAAACCTTGCTTAGAGGGAATATTTATGAATCTGTCCTTTGACCTGTTCCTGCCTCACTCCACTTTTCCATTCTCATGGCCAGCACCTACTTTCTTCTCAATGGGTTTATTTGAGTAGTATCACGTCTCTTGAAAATGACAGATGATCTGACACACTTAAAAAGAAGGGACAGTCATTTGATCAGAGATATATCTTCCCCACTCACTGAAGAAAGTGAAAATGACAAAATGGTCCATGAAAAATTTCTTTTCTGCAAGTGGAGAAGTCCTCATTTATCTCTGTCTTTCTCCAGTCAAGTTGATTTAAACTCTTTTATTGCAGTCCAGTATCAGTGACATTGTAACTTACTGTCTTGTAGACTATGGCTGAGTGAAAATACAAAACAAAGTCACAGTCTTAAATGTGTGAGTTCATACAAACTTAAAGAAAACTTGTCCAAATGTAAGACCGATGGTAAAGGATTTACCAGAGAGTAAAATTGTAACAGTGACACAAAACTTAATTATATCAAGAATGCATACGTGGGCAGCTGATGACAGCTGATGAGTCAGTCTTACTGTGGTTGCCATCACTTTTGTACGCATCTCATAATGACAAGAGAGAGAACAAATTGTCATTGGTCTGTCATGGATAGGTCCTGAGAAACTCCTCAGATGTCCATCTAGAGTCCCTGTGGCTTCCTTACATTGTGTGTCAATTCATGTAACTGATTACTATGGAATTGCTCCTATTTAATTTTTATTTTTCCTTTTTTTCTACTAAAAGACCAGCATAACCAGTCTGGACATCTGTAACCTTGCAATGAATTTGACAAGCAAGCTAAGCTACAGCAGTTTTCAGCTGTAGAAACATGTTTCATTTTTCCTTTCTGTATGCATTTAGATGAGGTGTTCAGACTGAAGTAAAAGAATGCAAACAAGTGTGATCTACCACAAAGATACCCCAAAACTGTTTCTTCTTATTGATAAAGCTATTTGATGCTATTTCAGAAACTGACATTTAAAGGAGTTTTCTTCAGAAGATTATGCAAAGAGTAACAGAGACTGAAATCAAGAAGATTCAAATCTAACTCGTATTTTGTTTGTTCTAAATTCTTTGTGGATTAGCTTCACTGTGAGACTGGAGCGCTTAAATGATGCTATAAGACATTCACAAAATGCCACCTAATCTGGTAGGCTCTTAAACAGCTTTGACCTGTAAGTTCTGCAGCAGTATACACACACAGAGTAAAGTCCTAACAAAGTCAAACTTCTTAGCACCTATTATGTTCCTAGGAGGTTCTTCGCATAGGGCAGCTTTTCATGCCGTTAGCCATAGAACAGGGATATTCCGCTTACGAGACCTCACTCATCTCATCTTGGACAGCCTGTATTTTTGCTCTAGGAACATGCTAAGTTAGCATGTTCTAAATAGGACTGTAAATTATGTTTGCCTTTATTGTGCAAGGTTGCACCAAACTAGCTTTCAGGACAGCAGCTTTACCTGACTGCGTTCAGTTCAAGAATGGGGATTAACTGCAATCTGAAGTTTTACTACTAGTCTGTACACATTTTTGTTAAAAGGAAGTTTGGTGATTACCGAGCTTGCATAGTGATAACAAGGATAAGAAACCCGTGCTAACTGAAGTCAACAAATCTCTTTAAAGAGTTTGGATGCTGAGTGCTTGCTTCCTGGTAACTGGCAACTTCAGAAAGAGCTTCCCACTACTCCAGAACACAGAGTTCCTTGTAGTCATGTTCATAAACAGTCCAGAGATTTAGAGCTAGCAAATCAAGAGTTTATATTTTTAAAAGGGAACCTATTGAAATTCAAAGGGCTGCCTTATATGGGTTCAGCTTATGATAGCAATGTATAAACACACTAAGGATAATGTATAGGCTCATTACAGGATCTGGCAAGATTTGGGAAGATTTTTAGCACACGGTGGAGAGAATGGTCTTGGAAGAACTGGGAACAAAGTTTTAAATAGATTTCTCTAACGTGTCTTACCTAATACTTGGGGAATAGTAGGAAGAACTGTCTCTTTTTTTATTGCAATGTTTTGGTGGGTTTACACACACACAGAGAAAACAGTGATAAAGGAGTCATTGGAAAACAAAGTTTTTGAATGACGAACAAGTATTTAGAGCTAGTGTCCAGGTATAATACTAAGATTTCTGTTGGACTCCTGTTTTATTCAGTTATAATTATCTAAAGTAGAATGCCATTCTTTTAACTTAGCCAAATAACTTAAAGAGGAGAATCCAGCAGAGACTACTCTTAATATTGATGGGGTAAGTCTTTGCTAGAGTTGCTTTGAATTTTTCTTTCCTAAGAGAATGTTTTTACTGTACTTTTGCTGTATGGTTCTTTTTACAGTATGTTTTTTAAATATGAAAATAGCACTGTCGTAAAGTGATTACAAGAAGTAGTATGATATTTTCTAGAATAGTCTTAAACTGCATTTGCATTACAGTAAATGAGGTGTACAACATTTACGAGTGGAAAATATGCTAGAAAGATCACACCTATTTTCATGATTTTGGCTTCTTAATTTAATGTGCTTAATCATATTTTGGCCTCACCTACAAAGTCTCATCATATAGTACTTTTACTTTGCAGGAGATTTCTGTGTTACAGGGTTTCTGCCAGAAAGGTGGGATTGTCATTTAGATGTTGTTCTTGAATTTATTCTGGTTTTCTTTGTCCTACCCAGTTCCTGTATTCTTGAATTCTAATTTCTTGTAAAGCATTTTAGGTCTTCATGAAATTACAACAAAAATCAACCTTATGTGGAGCATGGGCCATTTTTTAATAGGGTTGTAAGTGTTATGATTTCTTACACTGCTTTAATTTTTCTTGCTTTATCCCTGCAGGTTTTAACATATTTGCTTCACAGAGAGAAAGCACACAGACACTTATCTTGCAGTGTCAGCTAAAAGTACTTTGTTTTTTCTGTATCTTGCTGTCTTTGTATTCAGATAAGCCTTATTAGTTCAGAGACATTTAGTTTGTGTGGATTAATAAAATTCAGGAAAAGAATTTTCAAATGAATCTTGAAAGCAAATCAGAGTACGAATCAGGCTTACTTAGATGCAGAGAATGTTCTGAGAAAAAACATTACCTTATGTTGCTGATAATCAGATGTATATTGTCCTCCAGCTTATTACAGAGCAAATCTCAGCATTTTGCAGTTAGTGTTCTATAAAAAGAATATTACAAAACTTGATGATCTTGTTTTTACAAACGAAGCAATAAGAACACCCTAGTATCTCAGTGTCATCCAGTGAGATGTTGCTTTGTTGGTGGGATAAGAGGTTATTGGGCAGCTGTGGAAATGCAGACTAGACTAAGCCTGTACTCCACTACAACATCTGCATATAAATTTGTGTGGATTAAGTTGCAGGAGGAATTTTAAAAGCAAACAAAAATACAGAAAAATCTGTCCCTAGCCTATTTAGATTCCATGATGCTAAATAGCAATAAAATAATATCTCTTCAGTCTCATCTATTCCAGATTTTTCCTTACAAGTCTTTTTTTGTTTCTTTTATAATTTGAGTCAGCTAATTTAATTAATTATAATTTGAATAAATTCTTGTGCAATAAAATAGGTCATTCTGTTTCCTGTAAAATGCCAACAAAAATAAACTTTGTGGGACATAAACCAGAACTGGGTTTCATGGAACAGAAATAGTGTTGGATATGTCTATAGGATGACGCAGAAAGCCACAAGTTGACATACCTATCCCATGAGCTGCTTTGCTTCAGGGCAGCTCCGCTTCAGGGTTATGTGCTATGGTTTTGCACAGACTTACTAGCACACCAACACGGTGAAGCTTCCAGTCCAAAGGTGGTGCGAAACCAGCTGTGAGACGGGGCAGAGCAAGCTCATGACTGTTAGCCCCCATACGTGTGCATATAAGACCCAACCCTAAAATTTAGGTAGGAATTGCTAGGTGACTCAGCAGTATGATGACAGCTGAAAATTCAGATGCCTTTCAAATGCAAAGTGAAATACATCAGAAGGAATAATGTGAACATTCATGCACATTAGTAGGTTCTGAACTAACAGGAAAAAAACATAGGTACCAATGTAAGCAACTGAAAGAAAATGTCTGTTCAACATCCATCATTAATCAAAAACCCATGTGAAGATAAAAACCCATGTGAAGATGCATAAAGAATATGAAGGAAAATAAGATATTCAGCAGACAGAAGACCGTATCTTACAGAGTCAGCA